GCCCACTTGCACACTCCACGGTGCTTCCCTTAAGTGAAAAGGTAAAAGTACTGGAGTTTTTGTTTCTGTTCTGAGCCAGGATCTCACCATGCAGTATAGGTGGCTGGTCTTGAGCTCACCAAGGGGCACAAGCTGGCCTTCAATTCATGGTGATCCTTCTTCCTGGGCCTCCCAAGGCTGGGGTTCCGGGCATGCGACACCACAGCTGAGAGCTCTTAATTTTATATGGAAAGGAAAAGGACTGTATGCTGAGGTTACTAAACTATCCACAAGAGCTGTTCTTAGTGTATAGAGGGCCTGGCTCTCCCCCCCGAGGGGCAGGCACGCCCTGTGGTCTGTGGTATCCCCACTTGAAAGGGGAGCATGCTTCTGGGAACTCCAAGTCTCCAGCTGGCTCAGTCCTGCCTCAGTGCTTTCTGATTCATTGGTTGAATGATCCCATCTCCTCGTCACAGGTGACTGGACTCAGTTGAGCAAATGACTCCAAGGTGGCCAGCTAGAGCCAAGCCAGCTGCTCCCAGGGAAGCTGGTACAGGGCTGTTGGCACTGAAGGTGGCCTCATTGGGTTGGGGCGGGCAGCCCATGGCATATCCTCTCTCCTAGCAGGAGCAGCAGACCCAGAGAATAAATGAATTATAATTACATGGTGTCCTCAGGGCTCTGCCTTCTTCATTCTGCTCGTGTGGCTGTGGAAGACCCTTTCCTCTTGCTTCCTCCGATGTAATGGGCACCTCAAAGTGAAAGTTTAAAATCTTTTTTTCTTTAGAGACAGTGGCTTCTCTCAGTGTCCTCAGGCCTAGGGCATGCCTGGCTCCCTACCCCTCCTAGAATGGAGGAAGGGATCAATTTGCAGGTGTGGTGTCCAACCCTTAGGTGAGTGGGAGGTTGGCCAGCACAACAGAGGGCTAGGACTGGCTCGGTGTCCAGGTGTCCCCTCTCCACTGGGCCTTGCTGTGACATGAGGACCTTGGGCAAACCAGCCCCATCTCGGAGCTAGCTTTGCACAAGTTCTTTTTCCCTGTTACCGAGATAAATAGCCTCTTATGAGCTAGTCAGCAATGAGGAAACCAACTAGAGTGTATGAGCCTCTGGGGCCATGACACCCCCATTCTTAAGAGTAAAGCCCCTCTCGCTGAGGATGCCATCACTGGCTCTTTCTTGCCATCAGAAATGGGGACAGGAGCTAGCACAGGATCCCATTCCTTTCATCTCTGGCTGTGTTGGGGGTCAGGGATTTACCAGGAAGGAGGGGCAGGGAGCGGCATCTGGAGAACCCACTGCAATCCCCTTTCTGTGTGCAGAGTGAGGAGATGAAGCCGCATGGACGCCACCCCCACCCCCAGGGGGCGCTGCATCGCCCAGGGAAGCAGTGCGGCTGGGAGCCAGAGGGGAACAGAGGCTGCGCAGAGGCCCAACCCTCAGGAATTTACCCCAGGAGGGAAGTGTGCGTTCTGGGTATCAGGATATTTATTTTAAAATAGTCTTTTATTTTTCAGAGTGAAAGAAAAATGAAGCAGGTCATCAGAGACTTCAGCGTCACCCTGGAGGTAGTTTGTGATAGGTTCTCAGTGCCACAGAGAAACAGGCAGAAGGAAAAAAGGGCACAGAGAGAATTTGGGGAGGTCAAGGAATTCTCTGGATTGGAACAAAGGGAGGCTGAGGCTTTTATGGTCTTTTGCCAGGGTGGGTTTTAGGGCGATGCTTAGATCTACCTGAGGAGCTGATTGGGGCTCTTCCCTGAGGCGGTGGGAAGGGTGAAAGTAAATTATGTCCTGGGCTAAGTTGGAGAAGAAGGGGGAGGTGGTCCTTGGGAGCACAGGCCTTGTTTAAAGGGCATTGGCCATATTAGATGATCACCACAATGATTTTAGCAATTCATACTAGGGCCCAAACCTATCAGTTTGTATTTTAAAGGCTTGACTCGTACTCTTGGAGTTTTTTTGGGGTGGTGGCACCTTGAAAGGAGGCTCAGTGGCAGGACTCTGGGTCACCAGGAGTCTCCTGGATGGGGTCTTGGGATGCCACTGATGAGCTGTCCTCTGTTTCCTGGTCACTGGAGACAGCAGCTTCCTCAGTGCAGCAGGGCCGGCCACCAGGGTCTACAACCCCTAAAACTGTAAATGGAAGCGGACATCTGCTTGATTCGGCTGGTCTTGCAGGTATTTTCTCCAGGACCTTGTAGCCTGGTATTCAGTCTTCTCTCCACATGGGTGCTTTGTTAAGCTGACAATGACAGCATGGTGCTCTGCAGTCGCATGACAGCTCTGAAGCACACACTCCAGTGACCACAGCATATTCCACCACTCAGATCTGCCTGATGGTGGCTTAGATGTCTTCTGGGATGCTGAGCTGGTCAACTGGCTGGTACTGTGTCAGCAGGTTTCTTCACTTATAAGTTGCTCCTTTTCCTCACAGACTTTGCAGTGAAGCATCTGTAAGGAGGAACTCAAGCCTGTGTACAAGAGGCACAGAGTCAGAGCCCTCTCAGCCAGTGTCCACCTGGTTTGGGATTATCCTGCATGGGAGGCTCATGTTCTCCTCCCCATCTACTTGTTCAGTGATTTATTTTATCCATATAGGCCAACTTGTCTGTCCTTGTGCTTGTGCTAATCCGGCACGGCTTGTGGTGCTCACATTGCTCCAGCTCGGGCATTGGGAGCTGCTTCAGCTGGGCTCTGCTCCTTGGGCAGCCCCGTGTGACCGTGGTTTCCTTTGTTTGGGAAGGTCCTTGCTCTCCAACCTGCCACGCTCCATGCTCATCTCCTGAACCTCTCCCCCACCCCTAGCAGGAGCCATTCAGCCAAGGAGCCCTGGTTCTCTTTATTGGCAACACTTTTGGAGTCTATTTTGGCACTTCTAAATGTCGTACATTAGAAGGCCAAGATCTGGTATTTGGCATTGACTTCTGAGGAAAAGCTGAAGGGGACCACTGATGTTTAGGAGGAGCAGCGTGACCATCATATGTTTGTGTCAATGCAGCAGCTGACAGTGGCATTACAAACTAAGGGGATGGGCCTTGGGGTCTGGGGCTCAGGGGGACTCTGGGTGCAGAGCCAGAGGCAGGGAGTTAATTACAGGGGCTGACTTGCTGGGTGTGCAGCAGTCGCCCTGGCTTGGAGGGTTGTGGGTGTGAGCATGTTTGTGCATGTGTGCATATGTGTGTGTGTGTGTGTGTGTGTGTGTGTGTGTATGTGTGTGTATGTATAGAGCAGTGGAGCTGAGGTGGGGCAGAACTGCCAATCACTCCAACAGCAGGGATAAGCTGTGATACTGGGCTCAGGGATGTGGGTTAGGCAGGGCAGACAATACCCCCAGCCCCTTTCCACCCTCCTGAGATCACCCATTGACCTGCCCAGGAAGTGCCCTACACAGGTCCCCAGGGGTCACAGACTTCAACCTTAAGGCTTTGTTGAGTACTTAGGCACAGAGAAGCTGTTTACCATGGAGTGGGTGAGGATGTTACACAGCAGTCCCCAGACACAGGGCAGGTTCTTTACGCATACTCACTAAGCCTGGCCAAGACAATAACTACTGACATCAACGAATGGAGCCCCAACTTCTAGACAAGTTAGGTATTAAGTGGAATTCTAAAGCAAAGTGCAACACAGAAAATTGGGGTATAACTATGAATGTCCATTTTGTATCTGTGTATTCAAAGTGGTTGGGATAGATATATAGTTGCATTCTCTTAATGAATAGAATG